TAAAGCTACACAGAAAAGGGTTAATCAGAAAAAGGTAAGACTGATTTAGTGACTGCAGAAATCATAACACAGATCTTCATTGAACTTCCCTTATAAGCAGCCAAAGGAAAAGTATTTCCAGCCTCTAAGACCTCAGACAAGAACTGCTCTGTGCTCTTGATGCGGCCTCCTACGTATTCCCTTCATAACCTGGAGTGCCTGCTATAGTGTTTCCTTACCTGGAGCAGCTAAAAGATGAGGGAGAGTCAATAGAAGTGATATGTGTTAGTCCATTCTTACGCTGCTAATAAAGACATACCCAAGACTGGGTAATTTATAAAGGAAAGAGGCTTAGTGGACTCAGTTCCACATGGCTGGGGAGGCCTCATAATCATGGCAGGAGGTGAAGGAGGAGTACAGCCATGTCCTATATGACTGCAGGCAAGAAAGCATTTGCAGGGGAACTGCACTTTATAAAACCATCATATCTTGTGAGACTTATCATCACGAGAACAGCACGGGAAAACCCACCCCCATGATTCAGTTACCTCCCAGCGGGTCCCTCCCACCATACATGAGGATTATGGGAGCTACAATTCAAGATGAGATTTGCGTGGGGACACAGCCAAGCCATATCATGGTAGAATTTTACAATTGGAATTTGAAAAACAAGCACTTCAGCTCCAACATGTAAAGAGCTTGAAAGTCATCACTCACATCCAAAAACCAAGAAAACAGCTGAACAAAATGAGTAAGTGACTTTAGAAGAACCATCAGAGAATTGACGCCACGGGACAAGCCTTCACTCTCAAATCTGGACAAGCATGCAAGTACAGTGAGTCAAAGCCAGATGAGTTTACCTGGAGCAGAAGCTGCTGGATCTCTAACACTTACATTGGAGTTTTGAAAAATGGCTGAGGCTAAGTGTGGGCCAGTGTGAAAGTGAGAAACTCCTTGGGGCCCAGTCTTAGAGGGACCTCCCACTTTCATGGGTTTTGCCTCCAAGAACCTCACCAGGTTCTCACAGTAAAAATCCAGGGGAAAAAAAAAAATCCCTTATGTTTTACAGCACGGGGAGGGGAAAAGTAACCATTTTGAAAGAGATCGGTAGCATTCTATTCTCCCTAACAAAGGAAATTCTAACTCCAAGGGAAATGTCTCCAGAGCCTTTTTTGTTCTAGGGAAAAGGTAGTTAGCCAACCACAACCTCCTTTATAGTCTTCCAATATCACCTAAGGGAGAAAAGAAAAACAACTAAGAAACGCTTCTCGGCACAAACACAAGACCACTGAAAGACTGAGATTTAATCATAAGTTTGTAGAATGCTTTCCCTCCCCACACCCTACCACCATGTTGCTATGTTTGTGTCCCTCCAAAATTTACATGTTGAAGCCTAACCTCCCATCCCCAAGGTATTAAGAGGTAGGCCTTTGGCAGGTGATTAGATCATGAGTGCTCTGCCTTGATGAATGGAGTTAGTTACCACAACAAAAGAGTTTGAGGAACCTATTTGCCCCTTCCCTCTTCCTTCATGTGAGGACACAGCAACGTGGTGTTATCTGTGAGGAACAGGCTCTCACTAGACACTGAATCTGCCAGTAGCTTGATCTTGCATTTCTCAGCTTGAAAACTATAAGAAATAATTTTCTGTTGTTTATAAGTTACACAATTTAAGGTATTTTGCTATAGCAGTACAAAAAGACTAAGACACATGTCTTCAAGACTCCAGTATAATAACAATGGATTACAAATGGAGAAGGTCTAACTATGTAAGAAGGAATTCTTAGGGAAACCAGAGACACTGATATTAAAAGCAAAACACAACAAGGACACTAGAGGATACAGAAACTTCTGGCACCCACAGCTACTGCAGACATTAAACACAGCCTGCTTGCTAGCCAGATTAACCTGAGGCCTCACCTTAAAAGACAGTTTACCTTAGATCCTATTACCTAATGCATCATGTTCTACTTTTAACAAAACAATTAAAAAGCATGCTAAAAGGCAAGGAAAAAAAAGCACAGACTAAAACAAAGTAAGCAGTACTGGACTGATATGATACAAATTTAGGAATTATCAGATAAGGAATTTAACTGATTAATATATTAAAAGCTCTAATGGAACAAATAGACAACATGCAAGAACAGATACATAATGTAGGTAGAGAGATGGGAACACTGAAAATGAATCAAAAGAAAATGCTAGAAATAAAAAACATTGTAATAGAAATGAAGAATGCACTTGATGGGCTCATCAGCAGGCTGGACAT